CCTCAATGCAGGCCAGGGTTCCCAGCTCCAGCCGTGGCTTCCAGCACTACAGCTTGACAGCTTTCACTCCATCCTGAGGTCTGGATCTGCATATCTATGTTTTCTTTTTAAATTATTTTGCCATAGTGTGTGTATAGTTGCCAGAGAGACAGAGGGAAAGCGAGGAATCATCTCCTGGGGGGATGGCTATGCTGTAATCTCTTCTCCTCTATTAATCTCTCAGGATTTGGGGCATTCATGCACACATGCCCAGTGTGTTTTTCAAGCTGTTGGGTCCAGGACTTATAGTCAGTCATGTAGGATCCAGCTGCTCTAACCACCATAATCAGTGTCTTAAGACCCAGGGTGCCTACATACCAATTTGACAAAACTAATTTATTTAATCCTCAGAGTCTGAGTTGATTCTACCTTTTGGAAGGCTACCTTAACACTAATGAGGTACATGGCATAATGGCTATGTCACTAGACCCCCACATAGTCAACTATGGTTCAAGTCCCAGACCTGGCAGCTTAAAACTCAGGCCGGGTGCATATGTGTGCCCAAGACCTCGACAAGAGAATGGAGGAGACAGGATTGCAGCACGGCCATCCCTCCTGGGGGTGATTTCCCACTGTCTCTCTTTCTGATCCTCTCTGGTGAGCACATGCATCCTATGGCAAATATCTACGGAAAAAATGCCTATCTTTCTTTCTCTCCCTTCTCTTGTTAAAGAAAAAATTTTTTAAATTGTGAAGTAGTTTGTCAGATTGATCCAGAATTATTGTACCAGTTGACACCCTCACCAACAGGCTGTGTCCCAGTTTTCCTATATTTTCCATACTGACTATTATATTTTTAGAGTTTTTTTTCTTTTGTTTTGTTTTGTTTTTATCTTAGAGGTGTGCACTTGCCAGAGAGAGAGACAGACAGACACAACAAGAGGGAAAGTAAGAACTCACCCCCAGAGGAGATGGCCATGTCTTAGTCCCTTCTCCATTCTCCTCCTGGGATCTTGGGCACACATGCACACATGTCTGGCATAATTTACAAGCCACCAGGTCCAGGACTTGAACTGTGGTTGGCCAGGTGGGAGTCAAGCGATGTAACCACTATACCATCTGCTGGTCCCAACCAATACTAATTCTTAATCTTTTTTTTTTTTTTTAAATTGAGATCGTACAACAATTTTTCAAATACATAAGATTAAGATTTTTGCTATAGGGCATATCCCCTCACCACAGAGACAGAGAGAGAGACAGAAAGCAAGAAATCAGCCCCCTGGGGGATCCATGTGGCAATTCCTTCTCCTCCATTCTCCTCTCGGGATTTTGGGCATGGATGCACAAGCGCTTGGCATGAATTTTAAGCAGCCAGGTCCGGGACTCAAACCAGTCAACTGCATGGGAGTCCAGCAATGTAACCATTATGCCCTCTGCTGGTCCATTCAGTTTTGTTTTTGATGACTAATTGAACATTTTAGATATAATTTTTGACTGTTTGACTTATTTCTTTGGTGAATTATTTATAGTTTCGCTTTTTCTTTAGAGTTTTCAGAGTTCTTGAAATTTTTTTAAATTATCTAATTGCTTGTGATATATACTGCAAATTTTTTTTCCTGGATTGTAAATTGGCTTTCAAATTTGTTTATGGTGTCTTTTGAGAAACTGAAGTACTTAACTTTTAAATAGACATTTTTTTAAGATCAGTTTTTCGTTAACTGAAAAATTCTACCGAACATGCAGTGAATTCCCGTACTCCACCATTCCCCTTCCCGGGTTCTTCTATTGTTATACTGTTGTCCATTAGTGTGGGACGTTGGCTACAAACGATGAACCAGTATTGTTACGTTGTTATTAACTAACATCCATAGTTGACGTTAGAGTTCACTCTTTGGGTTGTACGGTTCTGTGCATTTTGACAAGCGTGTAATAACATATTGTCATTACCATTTCAGGCAGAATAGTTTCACATCCATAAAAACGCCAGTGCTCCACCGATTCATCTTTCTCCCTCTTCTCCCTCGGTTCCTGACAACCTAAGTGACTACTCTTTTTATTACTATTACAGTTTTATCTTTTCCAGAATGTCATACGGCATGTAGCTTTTTTTCGAATTGGCTTCACCTAGCAAAATGCATTTCAGGTTCCTACATGTCTTTTCGGAGCTTGATAACTCATTTCTTTTTGTCATTGAGTAATACAGTATTCCTATTTGTATGGATATACCACAATTTGTGGATATTCCCCTATTAAGGGGCTACTTGGTGGTTTCCAGTTTCTGGCAATTATGAATAAAACTGCTTTGATGATCTGTGTGCGGGTTTTAGGATGGGCATCAGTTTTCAGGTTGTTTGGGTAACTACCACGAAACACAGCTGTCAGACCTTAGGTAGGTGATGTTGACCTCTATGCAGAACTGCCAGACTGCCGCTGTGCACTCCCACCTCCCACCCGCCGTGGATGGGAGTTCCTGTTGCTCCATCTCCTGTTGCTCAGCGTTCCCAGTGTTTGGGATTTTAGCTATTCTACTAGGTATGTACTGTTATTTTGTTACTGTTTAATTTACAATACTCTACTACAAATGATGTTGAGCATCTTTTTATATGTGTATTAGTCACTTCTTTATCTTATTTAGTGAAGTCTGTTCAGATTGCCCATTTTGTAATCAGGTTGTTTTCTTACTATTGAATTTTAAGAGTTATTTGTATATTGACTTATTTCTTTGGTGAATTATTTATAGTTTCGCTTTTTCTTTAGAGTTTTCAGAGTTCTTGAAATTTTTTTAAATTATCTAATTGCTTGTGATATATACTGCAAATTTTTTTTCCTGGATTGTAAATTGGCTTTCAAATTTGTTTATGGTGTCTTTTGAGAAACTGACGTACTTAACTTTTAAATAGACATTTTTTTAAGATCAGTTTTTCGTTAACTGAAAAATTCTACCGAACATGCAGTGAATTCCCGTACTCCACCATTCCCCTTCCCGGGTTCTTCTATTGTTATACTGTTGTCCATTAGTGTGGGACGTTGGCTACAAACGATGAACCAGTATTGTTACGTTGTTATTAACTAACATCCATAGTTGACGTTAGAGTTCACTCTTTGGGTTGTACGGTTCTGTGCATTTTGACAAGCGTGTAATAACATATTGTCATTACCATTTCAGGCAGAATAGTTTCACATCCATAAAAACGCCAGTGCTCCACCGATTCATCTTTCTCCCTCTTCTCCCTCGGTTCCTGACAACCTAAGTGACTACTCTTTTTATTACTATTACAGTTTTATCTTTTCCAGAATGTCATACGGCATGTAGCTTTTTTTCGAATTGGCTTCACCTAGCAAAATGCATTTCAGGTTCCTACATGTCTTTTCGGAGCTTGATAACTCATTTCTTTTTGTCATTGAGTAATACAGTATTCCTATTTGTATGGATATACCACAATTTGTGGATATTCCCCTATTAAGGGGCTACTTGGTGGTTTCCAGTTTCTGGCAATTATGAATAAAACTGCTTTGATGATCTGTGTGCGGGTTTTAGGATGGGCATCAGTTTTCAGGTTGTTTGGGTAACTACCACGAAACACAGCTGTCAGACCTTAGGTAGGCGATGTTGACCTCTATGCAGAACTGCCAGACTGCCGCTGTGCACTCCCACCCGCCGTGGATGGGAGTTCCTGTTGCTCCATCTCCTGTTGCTCAGCGTTCCCAGTGTTTGGGATTTTAGCTATTCTACTAGGTATGTACTGTTATTTTGTTACTGTTTAATTTACAATACTCTACTACAAATGATGTTGAGCATCTTTTTATATGTGTATTAGTCACTTCTTTATCTTATTTAGTGAAGTCTGTTCAGATTGCCCATTTTGTAATCAGGTTGTTTTCTTACTATTGAATTTTAAGAGTTATTTGTATATTTTGGATGCCACATCCTTCATCTGAAGTATGTGATATTGGGTGCCAACAGTTGGCAGGTGGCACGGTCGTTAAGATGCTGGACTTCCACATGGACGATTATGGTTCAAGTCCTGGACCTGGCAGTTTGAAAATCACATAGGGTGTGTGTACATGGGTGCTCAAAATTCCGAGAGGAGAATGGAGGACAAGGGACTGTGGCATGGCCATCCCCTCTGGGAGGTGATTTCTCATTTTGCTTCTCACTGTCCTTCTCCCTCTCCCTCTGGTGAGTGTACACACCCTATGGCAAAACCTTTAAAGAGAAAAAGTAATTTTGGGCCAGCTGGTGGCATGGTGATTAAGGGGATTGGATCCCACATGGCTGACTGTGTGGTTCAAGTCCCTGACCTGGTGGATTGGAAAACGTGCCAGATGTGTGTATGTGCGTGCCCAAAGTTCCAAGATCAGATGGAGAAGAATGGGCTGCCGCGGAGCCACCCCTCCCAACAGGGGCAGGGAATTTCTGACTCTCTCTACGTCTCTCTTTCTCTCTGGCAAATGCGCACATCCTATAGCAAAACTGAAAAAGAATGTAGTAAATTATCAAAACAATGTAGTTTCTGGCTCGTCTTTAGTATTAGTCTTTAAAAAGTTTTCAGTCTCCTTGGGTTATAAATATTCACTTGTATTTTTTAGTAATTTTATTCTTTCATTTTGAGATATGTATGTCTAAAAAATCTCAAAAAACTGGGAGAAAAGCTTATTTCCCTTCTTCCTACATTTAAATCCACTTAGATATAATTGCCTTGCCTTATTTTGACAACCACGCAATGGAAAATTGGGGACTAATGATCTTCGATGAATCGGTATTGCTGCTGCAACCGAACGACCGGCTGACGGAGAAGCGCACTATGATCTCCTTCATTGTCTCCCACGAGATCATACACCAGGCATGTGGTAAAACGTCCCTTCTTACTTCACACGAAGATGTTCTCCAGCTTCTCTACCACAATAGAAAAGAAGAGAAAACTCTACCACATTCCAAATTCAGGAAAAAAAAAAAAAAAGCAAATATTACTCGCAAAGAGTAGCAGAAAGTAAAAACCAGCAGGACCGGGGCAGTCAGATGGGGGGATTTGTCCCCTGGTGATGGAGTGTCGTGGTGAGACTTTACAGTCCAGAGTTTGTATTTACCTCCAAGGACTGGCTTTGCTCCACAAGACCCTCTTCAGGAAAAGTTAGCTAGGGAGAGATATGAGTATTTGCGGGACACCTGGCGCCCAAACAGGGACGGGACACTACACGTAGGCGAGGGAAGGGGTCAGCGTGTCGCAGGACTTCTGTGCCCGCGTGCTTACCGCAGCACAACCCACACAGCCCACGGAGTCCAGCGACATGCTCCACTGACAGTTAATCAAGAAATGAACACTATAAAATGTTGCTCAGACAGAAAGAGACGGATCCCCATCATGATGCAGCAGTGTGGATGAGCTTCCTGCCAGGGGAAGTAGGTCATCCTTGGAGGACAGATGCGCTCACTCTCGCCAGCAGCGGGAGGTCGGAGGCTACCACAGGAATACGGCAGAGCGGGGAGGCAGGGCGTGTGGGGGACAGCAGAGGAGAGTGGCTGGGGGGGGGCGGAGTGCTGGCAGGGGGGCGGGGGGGGGCGGGACAGCAGTCACTCTTGTGGAAATAGCTAGAGGAGGTCTCAGGTGTGCCACACAGACACAGTGACATCTGTTAGAAATGACAGACATGTTCATTGTCCTATTCATGTACCGAAAAGTCACACTGTACCCATAAGTGTGTACAACTATATAATGTCAACTAAAAAGAAAAATATAAAAAAGAAAAAATAAAGGGAACCAGCCCTGTGGCCGGCTGGTAAATGGAGCTGGATTCCACATGGCCAGCTGCAGCTCGAGTCTTGGCCCTGGTGGCTTGAAAAACGCACCAGATGCATGTGCAGGTGTGCCCCAAATCCTGGCAGGAGAGAGACAGAGGAGAAGGGACTGTGGCCTTACCACGGCCTCTCGGAGGGTGCTGTCTCCCTCCCTCCCTCTCTCTGATGAGTGCATGTACCCTCTGACAGTTAATAAAAGGAAAAAAAACAATAATTATTTTATAAAGGTAATACATGATCACACTACAGACAATTTGAAAAAAAAATACAGAAAAGCACACAAAAAGAAAAATCTGTAATGCTGTCACACAGAGATCATGATGACGGACATTTAGTGTAGATTTTCCCATAGACTGTCAGTCTCAATCTCTGTCTCTCTCTGTATTTGATTCTTTGTTTTTTAACAAAAATGGCATTACAGAATTGATACTATTCTTTTAATGACTTTCTTTTAATTTGACAGCATACAACAACATGATCCAGATTAATAAATATCCTTTTGCATTGCCATTTTAAAAACAGCCGTGATAGAGGGTGTGAGTAGGAGAGGGGAAAGAAAGGAGGAGAGAAAAGCACCCCCAGCAGGGCCAGGTCACACACGCCCTTTCCACACCCTCAGCGTTCCGGCTCTCGGACGCCCACACACGGGGCTGCAATGCCTCAAGTCAGGCCAGGGATTCCAGCTGCAGCCGTGGCTTCCAGTACTACAGCTTGACAGCTTTCACCCCGTCCTGAGGTCTGGAGCTGCATATCTGTTTTCTTTTTAAATTATTTTGCCATAGTGTGTGTATAGTTGCCAGAGAGACAGAGGGAAAGCGAGGAATCATCTCCTGGGGGGATGGCTATGCTGCAATCTCTTCTCCTCTATTAATCTCTCAGGATTTGGGGCATCCATGCACATGTGCCCAGTGTGTTTTTCAAGCTGTTGGGTCCAGGACTTATAGTCAGTCATGTAGGATCCAGCTGCTCTAACCACCATAATCAGTGTCTTAAGACCCAGGGTGCCTACATACCAATTTGACAAGAGAAAGTGAGAGAAAGTGAGAAAGCAAGCCACCAAGTTTGGGACTCAGGCTACAGTTGGCCAAGTGGGAGTCCAGCAGCCTTAACCACCATGCCACCTGCTGGCCTGTAAATATTTTTAAAAATAGTAATTACAGAGAAATTTGTAATTATTTTTATACTAAATATTATATCATGAGCTTTCTATATTTCCTTAAATTCTTTTGAAAATGAGGTTTTTAATTAATTAATTCATTATTATTATTATTTATAAATTTGCTAAGGGCACATGAACTCACCAGAGAGAGAGAGCGGGAGAGAAAGTGAGAAGTCAAGCTGCCAGGTCCAGTATTTGAACTGAGGTTGGCCACGTAGGAGTCCAGCACCTTAATCATTCTACCACCTGCTGGCCACCAAATGAGATTTTTAATGGCTGCTAAATAATTTATGCATCACCTTATAAATTGTTTTTATATCACCTTTCCTATTACTATATTTTAGGTTATTTTTACTTATTCCTTCTGGACTAAATGTTAAGAGTTATAATCAGTAGGCATAGTCATAAGTACTATGCTACTTTTAGTGACTCATATTAAATAAATATTTTAAAGCTTATTTATTTATGTATTTCATCAGTGAGAGAGACAGACAGACAGACAAGCACCCCCAACCGGGTCTCCCAGCCAGCCCGTATAACAGGCATGTGCAGGATGACCCAGGAAAAGAACCCGCCCTTCCGTACGGCCTCCAGCATTGCGGCACTGAGCTGTCACTGTGCCAGCATAGCTGGGCTGTGAATGTTATTGTTAATATTGTTTTACTATTTGAGTAACTAGTAATACTGAAATGTGAATTTATGGATAGGCAAATCTGATGATTTCAACGATACGTTGTATTTCTGATATTTAGTTTATTTAACTCAGAATGACATGATAAGCCATACTGATTTGGCTTATTAGATCTATGTATGTAAATGTTTGAATTGAACATTACCTTCGGGCACAGCTCCCTTGTTCAGCAGCCAGCACTCCTTCTCGTTGGCATCTCTGCCCCGACTCGCCTCCTGTATCCTTGCTAACCCTTGGGCTCCTTCCTGCTGGTCTTCGCTGCCTTCGGCCCCATTTCACCTCCGACGAGGTCACTGACCTGCTTTTTCCTCCCCTGCCCTCATGCATTCGAAGAACTTACTGATATTTGAAATGCTGGTTTCCACTGGTCACATCTTTACAAGCTAAATCTGTACATTTTGAAGGAGAGTCGAAGATTATATTCTCACTGTTATTTTGATAGTAAACTTTCTTTTATGAGAGATGGGGATGACAGGTAGATGATATTAGTTTGTGGTCATTGTTGTTTTTTCTTTTTTTTCTTTTTCCTTCCTTTTCATACCAGAGGACAAGGAGAGAGAAAGAAAGGTTCCCACAATAGAGTCTTGTCACGCCGCAATCCTTTTTCCTCCAATTCTCCCATCAGGAAACTGGGCACACATGCCTGGCATGTATTTTAAGCCAATGGGGCTGGGATTTGAGCCCTGGCTGACCACATGGGGTCCATTTTTCTGTGTGTCCACCTAACTGCTGTGTTGTGGAGGCCACTTGATCCTTGTTTTTGTTAATTGTTTGGCAAAACAAAAAGTTGACAAACCTGTCCTGGCCTACCAAAATCTGTTTACAAATCTCTTTTTATCTGCTTATGAAATCACAGTTTCTGAGAAGCACTGATGTGGATAAAGCAGCCCCAACAGCCCAGTTGCAGCCCCCCTTCCCTTCGCAAACATTGTGTGAGGTGCCCCCAGCCCCAGCCAAGGCACTGCACGGTGCCTTTCCCTTCCTTCCCTGGACTGAGCACAGGCTCTGCTGGTCAAGCTGGAGTCTGGGCATCAGTTTATGAGGGGTCAGCACAGCAGTCATGGAAAATGCATGATATGAAAAAACTTGTACACCACAAGAGACTTGTACTTTCATTTAATTTTTCACAGTTTTTGAATTCCCATGATACATTGGGCCATCGGGAAAACCATGACATGTTTTTCTATGCAAAAACACGTCATGACTTTGCCGATGGCCCGGTGGGGCAGGAGACTGAGATACTGAAAAGTGAAGTGGCTTGCCCAAGGTCTTGGCCTAACGAGAACAGAACTGTGAATATAACCCAGTCGTCTGGGCCTAGTCTGGTGACGAGGAAAATGATGATACCTGCAATGAAGTATTTGCCACGACTGAGCACGTGGACTTAGAGCCAGGCAGCACGCGCTCTGAACGTACACCCTCTCAGTCCTCACAACAACTGCATGAGCAGGGTTGTTATGGATTCCGTCTTACAGATGAGGAAACTGAGGCACTGAAGCATTCAGTATGTTGACCAAGGTCTCAGAGTAGCTCAATGTCAGAGCTGAGATTCCATCCCAGGTCCCTGACGGCAAAGGCCATGTTTCTTACCACTGTGCTCTACAAACACACAGGCGCATTCTCATTCTCAAGGGGCTATTGGGGTGTGTGAGTGTGTGTGAGTTCATTTCATGACTCTTTATATACTTATAGCAGGTCTTACTTGTCTTCAGAAGGACTTTCCGTGGACGCTGTACCTATGAAGTGATCTGTGGCTGCTTTATAAAATATTGGGTTACCAGGAAAGTCATGGTGCATTTTTACATAGAAAATACATCAAGGCTTTTCCGATGACCCAGTAGAATCACACATGGCTAATGCCATTTATAACTATTTCTGAAATATTTGCTTGTATCCCAAATTAACTCTGCTTAGGAGAGAGGAAAGTAAGGAGAGTTGTATTCCCATAAAACAATGCCATTTGCTCTTTATTTTCTTTATTTTTAAAAAATTATTTATTTACTTATTTGGAGAAAGATGAGGGAGAGAGAAGTGCCCTTGATGGGGTGTTGCCTTGCCATCCCTCCCTCTAGCCTCCGGAGCAGCCAGGAAGGAGCTGGGTGTGAGTGAGCGTGCCCAGCGTTTTAAGG